TTTGTGTGTGTGTGTGTGTGTGTGTATGTTTATTTATGTGTGTGTGTATATAAATATAAGTTTGTAATGCATTACAGTAATAAGAACTTAAAAAGAAAATATGGTGAATTGTTATTAAAATAATGTCTGGCTTCATTTTACTTATTTATTTATTTTGCAGATTTTATTCGACCAAGCACAACGATCAATCAAATCACAACTGCAGACATTCATTCGAGAGTGAGTATCATAACGTTACATGTTGTTTTGTCAGTTTACATGATTCTGATCCCTGAATTATTATTTTAGTAACTTCCTAAATTAATAGAATTTTAAATGTTAAATTAGCAATAGCAGTTAATAGAGTTTTTTTTAATGCTACCAATTTAATGCTAATATGTATTTTAAATTATGCGTTAAATGTTTTCATGTCCAAGTGTCGTCGTGTGGCCAATATATCGTTTTTTTTTTTTTTTTTTAAGATTTATTTTTGGCATTTTTTTTTTTTTTACTTTACTAGAATAGTACTCGGGACGCCTGTAGCACATCGACGCTATATGTCAGGGTTACTGCTCACAATGCTATCGGCGCAGACAACATGCATTTTCTATAAAGTTTCAGCACCAAAACAAGTTACACTTTATATGTCATATTTTGTCATCAATCTGTGAGTACAGACCCTCAGCTTTTACAGCCGCCAAACCGATTTTTATCTGTTTATCAATAGACTCCATACACAAAGCCATTTGTCTCATCTCAGCTAAAGCCAGAGTTTATAATGGCACGGTTTCAGCGACCGTCGAGTGCACATTTAAGGAATGGTATTGCTGTGCGCAGGGACCTTCGGAAATTTAAAGAAGCTAAGAAACAATTCGACAAAGTGAGCGAGGAGAAAGAAGCAGCCCTGTCCAAAAATGCCCAGGCGCCTCGAAACAAACAGCACGAGGTGGAGGAGGCCACCAGCATCCTCATCGCCACGCGCAAGTGCTTCCGCCACATCGTCCTGGACTACGTCCTTCAGGTAAGAGCGCTCAAACCCCTCTGCAGGGACTCGGGGTTAACCTTTGCACTCGAACAACCTTTGTACAGATTCCCGTGTCGTTACATCACAGTCACAAGACGCATGTTAATGATATAGATTCATTGGAATTAATATCGCGTGCAAGCGAAAGAAGGAATGTTTTGAAAGAGAAAGAAACTTAATCAGTTCTTGTTACACAATACTTGTGTCCTCTCAATGCACTTCCTGTGTTCTGCAGTGACCGCACACGCTCAGTTTAAATGAGTCCCCTTTGCGAGGTCAGACTAGCGGCTATAATTCAAACGACTTGAACGTTATTACCGTAGGTTGACCTTTCTCTCAAAATGATGTGTACCAGCTCTGCTAAATCCTCTTCAGTGAGTCAGTAGTCGGTGAGTGTTTAGTGTGTGTGCTTTACAGGCGCTCAGTGTGCAGTGTATTGCGCCCCCTGGTGGCTCAAAGAAAGAACTGCTTATTTCCAGTCAGTTGTGAAAGATTAAAGGATGTGTGTTTAGGACCTGTTCAGGAAGCAGATGTGTTAGATTTGATTATAGACTGTCATTATTGAAGCATTAGTGGACAATTTGCCAGTGTTCACTTTTATTCAGTTTGTTTGTCTTTTTTTTGTATGCATTATTTTTTGTTTTTCATTATTTTACTGTGACCAAAATTGTATAGAATTGGGAAAAATGATATATTGGGAAAATCCCCAAATTAATGGTGACCTCATTGATTTATTGTTTTACTTCTGTTTTTGAAACTTGATGTCAGTAAAAAGTACCTGTTCTTTTAAGTAGGGAATTTATGTATGTATTTATTTTATTTTTTTCAGATTAATGTGCTGCAGTCCAAGAGACGATCAGAAATCCTCAAATCGGTAACATTTTCTTATTCATGATTTGTAATTAAGTCTTAAAGGGATAGTTCACCCAAAAATGAAAATTCATGTATGCCCACCTGACGTTCTTCCATCAAGGTTATGATCTGTTCAGTGAACTACAACCCCTCATGAAACAACTGACCGGACAGGTACATGATATCATATTGTAAGATCTTTGGAAACTTGAGGTTGTAACTGCGACAGAGAAAAACATTTCCCATCTGATATTATCAGCCGTGCATCTGCCCGCCTCCTTCCTGGCGGATCCAAACAAAGCGCTCGACCCAAACACCGCACATGTTCTTTTATGTGATGTGTTTCCATGCATGATACGAGGTGATGGACTGTCGCTTGCTGTATCTGAACAAATAAAGTGCACAGAGAGTCTATTACAGTTCCTTTCCTCAACTTCCCCTATAGAAAAGAAAAATAAGTGGTGTTTTCTAAGGCAAGTTTCACTAGTACTATTGGTTACGCATAGGGTTAGTGATTTGAACAAACCCTTAGCCTTTACTAAAATTTGACAAAAAAAGATTTAGCAGATACAAAATCATCAGCAAGTAATTTGAACGTCTCCTGCTAATGACAATATGAGCCTCTTCATTTACTCACAATTTCTGCCTGATAAAATAGAGCTTATCTCAACTATGAAAATGTATATGGAGTTGCATATGGCCCGTTTTATTACATGACTTTTCCAGGTCTAGAAATCACACTTAAAATTAGACTTCCTCATTTATCCAGGTTTGCCAAGAATCCTGGTTCTTCAAAAGCAATCAAGCAGTTGGTGAGGAGATTATTAAATATCTTGATTTGTAGTTGTTTAGAAGCTTGTTTTGTCTTGTTTTAAATCATTATTTCATCAACTTTTCAGTCTTGACCTTTCTGTTTGAGAAAGCATGATCTGATGAGCTTGTTGAATAGAAAGTGAATTTATTTGGAAATATGGAACGGTGAAATCACCAGTTTCAGTTCTAGAGGTAGTTCATTTACTGGATAATACTATAGTAACATCCACTGATATATTAATGTTAAAGACCTAAACTTGGTAATAATCCACATTTTTAAAGTTGGATTGATGAAGTCCTTCAGTGTAGTGGAATATTCCCATAAACAAGTTTGGATTTGGCGATCAGAAAGATTCTGAATGGCTGAGTTTTACTGTTAGAAGCGCTCTTGAATTTGTTTAGCAGTGTGTAGTGGCGGTGAAGCAGTGTATTATGGTCCATCATCATCTTGGGATATGGGAGCAAGAGTGGTTTTCCGTCCAGATGTAAGAAACCAGACCATCTTCCGATTACATGACTTTGTGTTTAAAGTGGTTTTTCACTGGCAGCCGTGCCTTTAATTCCAGTTTTATAAAGTTCAGTACAGTTGGGTGAAGGCGGCGTCTTGAAAACCTTCTTTGCCTTATATATTTGCCTTTTTTTTTTTTTTATAAACAAC